CCGTTAGCTTCACGGACACATATGGTAATGCAGGATTTGGAAAAGATCCAGTTCTTTTATAGATCCAGCTCTGGAGAAAGTGGAAAAAAACCAAAGCAGATAAAGCAGAACTAGAAGAGCTCCACAGACGGAGGGTGAAGAAAACAACCCCAACATGCAGCCAGGACTTAAAAAATAAAAATAAAAAAAGCCGCTCATGAACTGGAGCCGACACTWGGCCATGTGGTGGACCCGGGTCCAGAGAGAAGTGGGCCGACCCTCGTATGCGAATCTCTTGTTGACAGATTACAGTTTTCACAGAAAATCTGTCCCGTAGGAGGAGATGTGGATTGAAGATTGGCTGCCAGACGGAGGAAAATTACTCAGAGTCAATTAAAGCAAAGCAGAACTTGGCTCAGCATGGAGGGATGCAGAAAGTGGAGCTCGGGGGGTTCTGGTTCTGGTTCTGGCAAAAAGGAAGAGGTTGCCTGGATGGACAGGAGTCAGTTGGTTTGTTTTCCTTCTGCTACCTAAAAACCAGAGGAACCCTTAAATAAATAAAATTTGAGTCAAACACTGCTCGAAGAAGCAGCTTCAGACTCAAGATATTTTACTGACAAAACTTTTCAAACAGAACTAATTTATTTTAAATAACCACATATTTCATTTCTGTTAATGATAAACACGCTCCGGTTTTACTTGTTAACCAACCGGCCTCAAACATTGAGACTCTCTGAGCACCGGCACACCTTAGGGCTGTGTACTCGGCSCCCTCCTGTTCTGCCTGCACATACAACCGCAGTCCCACCCATAAAAACATCTTCATCATCGTCAGAAAGCAGCCTGCAGAGAGGAGATTCTGACATGAACTTYCTGGTGTTCAGTGAACAATCTGCTGCTGGAGATYATCCAGGAAACCCAACATCGCAGAATCTCTCAGTGTTAAAGCRGACCAGATCATTTTGACACAGCAGGAGAAAGAGCTGGACCTCCTCTTTACCCCCCCCCCCCAAGATCTTTGAGGGCTCATGGGAGTTTGACCATCTGGTCTACACTTGTTTTGTAGACATGAAGAAAACATTTAAACGTGTTCCATGAGGTACAACTTGAGACCGGATGGATGGATGGATGGATGGATGGATGGATGGATGGATGGATGGATAAACAGATGGATGGATGGATGATGGATGGATAAACGGATGGATGGATGATGGATGTTAGAGGGTACAGTCTAAACTGGGGTTCAGGGAGTCTTTAGAAAGAAACCCAACTGTTGTTGGTTGAAGCTGTGATGAAAGAAGATAAAATATGCTCTTCTCCTGTCAAACTAATGACTTCAGACGTTCTTCTATGAGGCCTGATGTGAACAAAGGCCGACACCTGGAGGGCTCAGCAGCTGTGAAAATCAAGCAGCAAGAAGAAGAAGAGGACAAATAAAAGGTGCTCAGGTGATGAAGAGCACGGCGAGGTGAAGGCTTGTTTTAACAGACTGAAATCATCACCTCTGGGTTCATGTCCACCCCCCCACCCCSCATCAGAACATGAGGCCTCACCTCCTCTCGTGTGTTGGATGATTTTAACGTCCAGGTGTTCAGAGAAGTGACTCTTTACCTCTGATTAAGACATCTGCATTAATGTTGAAGAAAGTCTGAGAGTCCAACTGCAAACCTGTCCAGGTGTCCTCGTCCTCTCACAGTGACAGCTGGAGGTGGACACCAGCTGACCCGTAAGGGAAAATGACTGGAAATAAGGTTGTTTTAATGCTTTAAGCATCAGAAGCTTTAATTATTCAGTTTGTCTGACACAAAGAGCCCAGCAGTTCTGCAGGATTTATGAGGCACGCAGCGGTTAATGTCTAATAAACACAGAGGTTCTGCAGCGGCTCCCACACAGGCACCCACACTTCCTGCTGCACACAGCTCTAATTGGGAGTCTCTCGCTCCACCRTGTCTCGGCAAGCAATAATTGGCCGTTTCCACTGACAGAAGGGTGGACGGAGGTCATTACAAGYGTGGCGCTGCAGTAACTGAGTAGAGCAGGCTCATCACCGACCGCCGGGCCCGGAGCAGAGAGTTAGAGGKGTTCTGGAAACGTTAAGTGACGACAAAAACACAAGACAGGTGAGAAGGAAAAGGAGTGAAGTGGTGTCTTCACAAAAAAAACTGAAACTGTCTGTGCATCTTTCTGCAGCTGATCTGGAAAAAGATTCAAAAAACAGGAAGAATCTAAAGCACGAGCCCAGAAACTGCTGAGGAATTAATACCTGATAGATTCATGCAATTACTCTGCAAAGAGCATAAATCTTTATATCAGCAGGTAAAATGAGGTTGTATGCTAACTCAAAACAGCTGATCAGGTCCTCCAGCTGGGACCTTTACGGGATCAATCTTGTTCCAGCAGGAAGTGAATTTGCATTGCTCAGATTGAATCTGAATGTGCAGAATTTGAAATTGAATGCATTGGTT